AGCAGCAGCTGTGGCAGCAGCAGCAGCAGCAGTGGCAGCAGATGATGATGATGATGGGGCAGGGGCCCGTGCCGATGGGCGGCGACGGCAACCCCGCCCCGCCGTCCGAGAAATTTCTGAACGAGCTTGACAACATGCAGATCCCGGAGGAGCGCCCGGCGGCTACTGAGCGGCCTCACGCGGAACCGACGCAGGGCGGCGGCGGCGAGGGAGACTGCGGCCGGTAAAGCGAAGATGCCGCGGCGGCAAATATATATATATATATGCGCCTCGCGCGCCAATAGTTGTGCTGGCATGCACAGAAGGGACGGCAAGGCGCTTCACTGTAGCGGGTCTAAAAGAGGCACACAACCCTTCTTCTTTTTTCCCTTTTTCCCCTTCCCTGCTTCTTCATCGTCTCCCCACTGCATCGCCGAGTGGGACTAACGCAGGGCGTTGAGCAGGGCCTCGCCGCGCTAGCTAAAGAAACTGCTTAGATATGACACACATATATATATAATATATGTGTATATGTAGAAATGTGTGTATAATATATATATATGAATTTGATTGCTCCGTGTTTCACCCGGCTTGTAGGACTATTATTACTATATTTTTTTTGTTCTTTTTTTTGTTTTTGGTGTCGTTTTACTGGGCGGCGGGGCCGCTCGTAGTGCCCGACCCCCCTTCCCACGCCGTACTCGCCTCTGTGCGTGCGTGCCGCAGGTTTTCTGTGGCGGCCAACTTCTCTCCGTGGTGTCAGGGCAAAATAAATAAAAAAGGAAAAGAAAAACTGTTTATATGCGTGGGCGCGTGACGTGTTCGGGGCCTACTTGTGGTAATCGCCCATCGTCGATCCCCCTCAATTAGTGTCGGCCGTCTTTTGTTGTTGTTGTTCTTTTTGGTTTTAACTGTTGTTGCTTCTCCGGGGCGGCGCAGGCCCCCTCCCTTTACTTCTCCCTCTCTCTTTATGTGTGTGTGTGTGTGTCACTGTGGGCGCCCCGTTCACTGGCCCCGACGTTTGAGCGTCGCAGGAAGCGCCGCACACTTTTCCTCCTCCCTCCTTTGTTTTTTGTTCTCTTCCCCCTCCGTCTTTTACTGCCCATTTTTCCCCCGCGCGGTGGGCGGCGCATGGCGCATGGCGTAGTTTTGCCTTTGGGGGAAGGCGGGAGCGCCGCGGCGACGGCGCCAAGTCCTCGCACGGGCGAAGGCGTGCCGAGTTCGTGCGGCTCGTTTCCTGTCGGTTTGGGTTTTGCCGCGCCGCCGTGCACCACCTGCCGCCGCGGGCGAACAGTCGCTTGGCACGGAACCCGCACTGCCCCTCCACGCATGCCTTGGCCCTCTTTCTCTTTCTTGTGTTGCCCTCTCGCCCACGCTGCCTTCCGTGCCCGCAGAGAAGTGTATATATAATACGCACTACGATAACCGCGCGGGTTGTTCTCGTGCAAAGTCACGCAGGCGACGCGGGCGTACAAGCTGAATTCCATAGCAGGTGAGCTGGAGCGTGGCGGGGGGTCGCCCTTCCCGCAGTGAAGGAAGTCCGGCCCAACTCAAGTAGGGAGGCCGTGCCAAACCCGCGCATCGAGGCACCAAAGTGTCTGGACGCGCACAGCACAAATTTCTAAGGCGCATACGCAAATACACACGCGACGGGAGGAATGAGCCGATTTCAAACGGGCGGCGAAAATGGCGCGCGTCACGAGTCCATGGAAAAAGTTCTGTCGGGCAACCACTATCGCGCGCTGCAGGGCTCCGACCAACCGCGGCAGGAGCTCGGCCTGCGGGGCGGCCCACCGATGCAGGCGCGGCTGCTGGTCCAGTTCAGGGACGGCACCACGCGCGAGTGGGACTCGCTGCCGCAAATGGACCAAGTCGTGGAGGCGCTGCTCAGCGTGATGGGGCCGTTGGACGCCCAACACCGCAGCAGCGGCTCCCTCCGCATCACTGAGCTCGACCGCGTGGCCGTCGACGTCGCCGCCGCCCCCCGGCACGTCGCCGCGTGGGACGAACCCGAGGCGCACGCGCCGGTGTCGTTTTTCTGGATCGACCTCGCGGGGACGCCGGACCCGCACGACTTCTCGGTGCTCTTCTCCCTGCTGAAGGTGCACGCCCGCACGCAGCGGCAGTGGCTGGCGGAGGCGGCGGGGTGGGCGGGGTCGTCGGAGGCCTGCGTCGTGAGCACCCCCAGCAGCCACTGCGAGGGCGAGACGGAGTTCTCGCTGGGGTCGAACGAGGGCCGCCAGCAGCGGGAGCCGGACGAGCTGCACGTGTTCGCGGAGGAGCGGTACGTCCAGATGCAGCTTGCCGTCATCTCTGCCACCCACCCCGGCGGCACGAAGACCTCAAGCAACCCCGCCTACGCGGACTCCGACGGAAGCGCCGCGGCGCAGCAGCCGGACCGCCTGCACGCAAACCTCTTTGACGTGGACGAGGAAGACGACCTCGGCTGCGTGCGGCTGCTCTGCTTCGCGGACGGCGTTGTCGACTGGCGCCCGGCGGCGGAGGTGGAGGGGTGGGGGTACGTCACCCGGGGCGTTGCGCGGCTGCTTGCCGACCCCGCCCCCGCCCAGCGCATGCTCACCACCTCGCAGCTGCTTCACATCATCCTCGACGAACTCTGCGAGGCGTTCCTGCCGGACCCCACGCTGGTGCTCAACGAGGTGGACGCCATCGATTCGATGATGCCGCTGGTGCGCCAGAAGGAGTCGGAGCAGGCGGATGTGCTGCGCCGTGCGCTGCGGCTGCGGCGCTGCCTCTCCGTCCACCGCCGGCTGCTGCTGAGTAAGGTAAACCTCCTGGAGCAGCTGGGGCGCCCGGTCATGCGCACGCTGCTCGCGTTCATCACCGCGGACGCGGTGAACACCGGCGGCGTCGTGCACCGACCGAACTTCTTTGACGCCAACCCCGCCGGCAGGTCCGCCGCGGTGGCGGACCCGCAGAGCCTCGCCCACACCGCCATTATTCGCCGCATTCTGCACCTCCTGCGGCAGCTCGACGGCGCCCGCACAATCCTCGGCAACACCACGCTCATCTACACCTCCTCGGTGACGATGCTGAACAACAGCATCAGTACGGAGGCCGACTACCGCATGGTGGTGCTGCACTACGTCACGCTGGTGTTCCTCCCGCTCACCGTCGTCGCCTCGCACTGGGGGATGAACTGCGACGTCCCATGGAAAAACCTCGACTCCACGACGCCGTTCTGGTCGATTGTGGGCGCCTCCGCCGCGTACGCCGCGCTGCACCTCTGGTACCCCATCTTCTGCATTTTCACTGGCAGGACGGACAAGCTCGTCTAGGGCGCGGCAAGCACCTGCCGGGGGGGACGGGGGAGGCAACGCGGCGGGGTGCGGCGTCCCCGCGGAGAAGTCCCGCGGGGCACTACGGAATTCAAAGCGAGACGCCCCCGCCGCTCCACACATCGGGTGTAGCAAAGCCATAAGGAAAAGAAGCAGAGAAGAGAAGGGCGCGGTTGACGCCACATTTTTTTTTTCTGTTTAAGCCAATACAAAAAAAAAAGCAAAACTGAATGATGAGGATAAGCGCAAATGAGACGTAATGCATTTTTCTCTGTAACGCCTGTACGATCACGCATGTGGGAATACAATAATTTTGGCGCCCAGACCGGCGAGGGCGTCCAAGGCGGCGCCACGCCTCGATTAGCCGCGGGCATTAAAGTACTGAGGGCGGAGTGGAGGAGCTGCGGGCGACCCCCCCACCCCCCTGCACCGCGCCTCCCCGCGTGAAGCGGGGCGAAGCGGGCTGAGCTGTGGAACGGGGAGCGGGGGGGCGGGAGGGGGTGGAGGAGGGCCCTCATACCGTGCGCCTTGCCACAAAACCCGACACATAACGGTGCATCCGAGAAGAGCAGTGAATGCAGGGGGAGGGGGCGAGTAGGTTGAGAGACGAACTGCACGGGCGCATCACTCCCCCCATGTCGCAGGCTTCCAAACAAACAAACAAACAAACAAAAAATTACAAACGGACAAATTGCACAGGCTTCCGCATCCCGAACTGTCAACGAAAAAAAAGGAATCCGCCCTCGCGACGGCCCGCCGCACACCAGTGGCGGTCACGACTGCAAGTAGAGCTCAATATGCGACCACGTAGTTGTAAAGGCCGATGACAGTAGGATTAAGACGCGGAGGGGGGAGGGAGGGGACACGTACACGTGACGGCCAGCTGGGCGCTGCAGACGAGCACACGGGAGCGGCTGGAACAGAAAATCTGCAGCACCCCCTAAAACAGTGTACACGCGCCGTGGCTTGATTGGTGTTGCAAGCAGTGCCACTAGTGAACACAATTTTCTATTTGAAGCGTATGGGGAGGAAAGTGTGGCCGGATGGGGCCAAAGAAATGAGTGAGTGTCTCGGTTAACATCCCTCTGTTTCCTTTTATTCATAAATTGATTTTACTTTCCTTCTTTTTTTTTCCTTCTTTCTTTCCCGACGAACCCGCGATGGGGGGAGGCGGCAAGTGTAACGTTTTTGGTTTCTGTGTGTGTGTGTGTGTGTGTGTGTGTGTGTGTTTCTTCCCGCCCCCCGTCCTGGCCTCCTCTTTGCCCTCCATGCGGACGCGGCCCAGCGGCGGCGGGCCCCGCAGACTGGCACCTCGTCAGTCCCCCACGGGGGCCCGGTAGCATCCGCCACGTGCGTCTTTTCTCTCTGTCCCTGTTGGGGCGCAACGGCGCCGCATTTCAGCCGCACCTCCGTGAGAGGGTGCCAGCCGCACACCCGCCCCAAAACTGTGTGTCTCTCTCTTCCCCTCTCCTTGTTGCCTTTTATCTCTCGCACCCTGTAGGAAGAGGAGGAACGCGGCCGCAGCCAGGCGCCCTGCTCAGCCGGCCTATTTCGCCCCAAACACACAGCCACACTCCTCTCATCACAGCCTCTTCGCACTACGGCACCAGGTCGTCGGCAAGCGAAGGCGGGCATCGTCGCCCAGGGCACAACGCATTGCGCGCAAAATAAGCCTCACAGGTGTCACTCTCTTTGACAATGCACCTCTGTTCACAAATATTTCAACGAAATTCCCCGCCGCACCTTTCCCCTCTTGCCCCCACGCTCCTCCCCCATCCCCCCAGAAGAGCCAAAGCAACTCACCTCGGCGATGGCGGCGCGGCACATGGACCACACGCAGTGGCTGGCGAAGCTGGTGGCCTTTGACACCACCAGCCGCAACTCGAACCTCGAGCTCATCCACTACTGCAGGGACTACCTGGAGGGGGTCGGCGTCAAGTGCACGCTGATCCACAACCCCGAGAGGACGAAGGCGAACCTGTGGGCGACGCTGCCGGGCGACGGCGGCGTGACCGACGGCGGCATCATTTTCTCCGGCCACACCGACGTGGTGCCGGTGGACGGGCAGAAGTGGGACAGCGACCCGTTCACGCTGACGGA